AGTAACAGGTGCCTTACTAGTAGTAACAAGAAGCTAGTAGAAACAAGAAGCTAGTAGAAACAAGAAGTTGTTTTCTTCTTGTCAGACTGTTCGTGTTGGAAGAGAACAAGCATAGTAAGCCTCTCGCCTCACAGACCGGTCGTGGTGGGCCTGGTGAAGCTTCGTTTTTAGCGCTTTGGACCGTGTCTTGTGGCGGTCCGACTTGGAATGCAACGTAAGTGAAACACAGTTATATGTTTCTCAAATGAAAGAATATCAGCCCAACACATGGCAGCAGAGAAACTGCAAATCCTGATGGACAGTGAAGCTTCAAAGTGATTGTGGCGTGTGGATGGCTGTTGAACGGTGTGATGTTCAAGGTTTGGGGACCGGCCCATTTTGTCCTTAGAGGTACGTGTGTGTGTGTGTGTGTGTGTGAAACCCTTGGAGTCACAGGGAATCCGTTGATTTTTGCTAACAGGCAGGGGTGCAAGCAGCCCATCCAGTCTTGCACCAACGAAGACACTGGATGTGTGCTGGTGATATTGATCCGAGACGCTGGATCAACGTGCCTGCTTTCAGACGAACCTACGTATGGCCAAAGCTGTCTCATTCTTTGTTTTGCAGTAATCGTCCAGCGCTGCAAAGGGCTATTGCATCACCGATTCTCTTTCTGAACCATTGTGGCTGGACTCCACTCCATTCCTTTGAGGATTTGAGAATTTCAGATTCTTGCTCACCCTGTCTTCTTAGGTTTTCATACTTAGGCTGGCGTGTGGCAAACCGCAATCGTGTCCGTACGCATTATCTTGAGTGTGTGCTCTTGTGTGTGTGTGTGTGGCCAAGCTTGTTCCTTCAAGCATTGCTTGTGGAGTCTGTTTCCTTCGAATCTTGGTGCGGGAAGAACCTGTGACGTGGATGGGACTCTGCACACTTTCCTGGGCGACCCAAAAGTGGGTCGCTCCAGGAGGGCAAGCCACGGGCTCGAAACATCCAGCCAGCCAGGAGAAGGGGGGGCCAGTCGGGACTGGTCCGGGACGGGTCGGGCAGTCTGAAGTGTTTGAGGTTTGTTAACTCGAAAAGATGAGGTGGAAGGCGATGGCCTCCAACCTGAGAGCAAAGGCCTCCGGAGTTTCATGAAGTTTCACCCTATCTCTTGCATGGTGAGTCATATGGTTGGTCCAACAAGAGAAAGACCAGCAGCCTGTTTGTTCTGGGTGTCGAAGTCTCTATATGTATTGAAAGACGATGAAAGAAGACCCATGTGTGACTTCCCAACGCAACTAGGAACACATTTCAGCTTAGTATTGGGAGGGTTGAGCTATCTTGCCAGGTAGAGTCATGAGTAGATTGCTCGACGACAAGACGCTCTCATTTGTTCCTTGTGGCACCACCGTCACCCGGACCGAAATCTATCCTCAAGGTACAAACGTCCACAGTAAACGAAGTGTGATCACCGCAATCTCGTTCGTGGCCATCGAAACATCGTCCCCAAACTAACGGGTTGGAACTCTGCATTGGTTCAAGCAGATCGAACCCATTGCAAGCATCCTAGACAAAAAACAATCCCACTCGCAGTATCCTCACAGGGTTTTGACCACGAAGACGAGTCAGGATGTTGCCTCCTCCGCCCCGGGTCAGTGCCCCAGTGCCCGGAAGCTCAGCCGACTTTGGAGATGAATCGATTCGAGGGGATCTCGCAACGTCTCCTGGATCGGCACCCTCTGCACGCCTGGACCTCCGGCGCTTCCCTCAGAAGCTCCGGTGACTCGAAGCTTGGGCGAGCTCGGTGGCGCTCGTCTTGACGGGACGGGTCCCGTCCCAAGGAGGTCGGGCAGGCCCGGGCCCATCTGTGCCATCCAAAGAGGAGCCTCCCTGAATCGAGGCATAGCTGGATGGTTTCAAAAGCTGGATGGTTTCAAAGGTGGGTTCAATGCCAAAGGCTTTCCAAGGTTCTTCTGTATTCTTTCAGTCCTCTTTGATAGCCAGAAGAATATCCAAAACAACAAAATTGAGGAGACTGCCTCGGTCTTCCACCTGAAGTTCCATTTTGTCAATTTCGCGCATCGGTGCGATCTTCGAAACGCCCGCCGAGCCTTCCGTGAGTGAGGCATACCCGAGCCCCACCGGCACAACATATGGCGCCTGTGGGTTGGAGGGTTCGACTCTCCACTCTAAGCGGAGAGTCGCAAGTTGGAACGGTTGGAACCGCGTTCTTTTTTGGAGAGACCTCCACCCTAGTAGCGATGGCCTCCAACCCAATAGCGATGGCCTCCAACCTAGTAGCAGGTATTTTGGAGAGACCTCAAGAATCCATTCACTTTGGGTTATACAAAGACGGCAGTACATGATACTGATACTGTTTATAGAATTGTCTGTATGTCCTGCGGCAGGTTGAGAGTCGATAAGGGATCCAGATGTGAAAGCTGCCTCAACTAGATGGCTAGTGCCATCTAGAATTGACTCCAATGTCACTGTCATTATGGGTGCTAGCTCTAGATGGCATGTTTCATGCGGATGTTGAAGATGCGAAGCGCAATAGAACATACTTGTTTGAAGGAGGCAGCTACGATCGGTATAGCATCCAAGCCCTTGGCTTCCAACTGCTGAAGAGTGTTGAGCTTTGCAGCAAGTGTTCGTTTGGCGCATGTGCATCAACACGCTCATCAGATGAGGGTGCCGAACACAAGGCTGTGCCGTCTCGCAGATCTTTTTTGTTGAAGTTACTGAAACTCGGCCGCGCGCTGGTAACTTTGATTGTCGCAGCCGGGGTTCCCAGCAAGATCGTGCTCGCAGGGGTGCGCCGCATGCGCTTCAGACGTGCTTATTGTTTCTTTTTTTTCAGAGCGCTGAACTCATTTTTCCTCATATAGATCAATCATACCCATGGTCATCCCTACACACATGGGTGGTATCAAGGTATGATCATGTATGATTTATGATCCATCCTTGAGTCGTGATTGAAGACTCACAGATCACCCAAAGAGCTCCCGGCTGTGAACTGATTCTTGTCCTTCTGATTGGATTGGGAAGATTGAAGAAGGCACCTGGAAACTTGATAGCAAGTTTCCTTAAACATCTACTGTAATTAGGAACCAAATAACCGGCGTGAGCTATCCTGCATCCAGTAGGTAGTAGCTTAAGTAGCTAGGAGCGTTTTCCCTTACTTATATAATTAAGTAGGCACCTACTTAATCAAGTAAAAGTAAGGGTGTGCTAAAGAAAACCAACACTTGGAGTTTCAGGGACTTTCGGTTGGGGACGTGGATGTTGAACGGTGAGCAAGCAGGGGGCGACCACTCGTCCGACACAGCTCGGTTCGCCTTGAGGCTTGGCCCGAGATGGCTCCGACTGAGGTGGGGGGAGGAGGGTTGAGTCACTTGAGTCGAACCTAAAAGCGATGGCCAGGAGACTCCTAGTAGCGTCCTTGCTCCTAGCAGCGATGCCCTTTGCTCCTAGTAGCTTCTTGCTCCTAGTAGCGATGCCAGGGAGCCCCTAGTAGCGTCCTTGCTCCTAGTAGAAACAAGGCAGACTAGATTCAAGGTGTGTGTGAGTTTCTTGGTCGAATGGTTTCTTGGCACCTTCGACCAAACCTGAAGGAGCTGCAACTCAAGGCACCCAATTTGATTGAGCTTTATATAGAGGGAAACCCAATTTTGAACGACTCGAGGTTTGGAATTTCATTTTTGGGGTTTGGAGCAACATGAAAGCACTGCAAGCATCGATCGTAGAACCATGTGTGGGGCGATGCTGCTTCTTTTACAGCCTTCCTTTTGTCGCCTTTAATCGGCAAATTCCAGGTCGCGGGAATGGCTGAGCATTCAATGTTCCTTGTCCGTTTTTGTTTGCGCGTCAAAGGCTCCATAAAAACGGTTGGCCACACCCCCAGATCCATGGATTCTCCTGGAACAATTGGAGAACATGATAGGTTTCTTCCAGGCAGACAAATTGCAAGAGTCTGTACCTTGGAAGTCCACTAACCACAGGAATTTGTATACAAAGGATGACAAAGGTTGGTGGTCCCCGCTGGCAGTCTACAGGAGTTTTAGGAGTGAAAATCGGCCCTTTTAACCTGCTCCCAGTGTTTCGGTGTTCGATGAGGCCGTTGAGACCCTAATCTTCGTGGACGTGGATGGTGTGCTTAACGTGAGCTGTCACGTGATATGGGGGTCGGGTGTTGTGTGGTCACTTGCTTGGCTTCTGTGGTGATCCTGGTATCCTGGCTGCAAAGGACCGTCCAGTGGACCCCCCCAAACATGTGCACCTAATGTAAGTTGATCAATAAAACGCATGTGAAGAGGTTTTACATCTGGACTCCATATGAGGGAGTTGAAATATAATCAACAGTCTACATTACCATTCTGTTGGGCTTCCAAGTTTTGTCACTCACACCCATTTGTCGACAATTTCATGGAGAGTTCTTCACGTTGCAACCTGCAGGTTCAGGCCGATGCTGGTGGCCAGATAGGGACTTTTTGGGGGTAAAGGTTAAGATCTTTCTTTCGGACTGGGCCGCGGGGGTCTCTGACCTGGACATCATCGTTGCTTTTCATGAATTCAATGCAGGGATCCTGCTGTGAAGGGCATTGAGTTGGGAATTGGTACATGAGGAGGGACGTGCTCTGGTGCAAACCAACCAATGCTGATCCTTCGAACGGTCGGTCCATTTTGTTCATATTTGGCTTCTAATCTTGTCAACTTCGTCTAGTAGCAGCCTTGCAGGGCGCTTGTTTCGATGTGTTTTATCATTCCGTGACAACACAAGGCCAGCTGGGAGCAAGTCACCCTTTTGCGGGTTCGCTCACGTCTGAAGTCTGAAATCGACTGGACCATGCACTGGGCAAAGTGCATGTTGCGTTCGGAAGTGGACATCCACTTCTTCTCCCTTTCGGAGTAATTCGTGAGTCGTAGGACCTCCCCTCTTTGGTGGAGACACCTTTTCTTCTGCCTCTTCGGAACCTCTTCCTCTTCGGTCTTTTCGCCCAGGTCGGGATTCATGATGAAGGCAAAGCGCCTTTGCTCCTCCGAGATGCCGCTGGGCAGAACATTCGGCGAGTCTTCGGATCGATCCCGCAGACGATCCTCGGTGGGTGACGAGGTGGGAGACCGCTCGGCTCGCTTAGGAGGACGTCCAGACTGCCATCAAGCTTGCCAAGCGTGGGTACAAAGGCCCAGAGGCGGAGTGCCGAGGATGGAACTAGGGACTGCATTAGCCATGGGGGTGGTGGTCAAGTGCATGGACACCCATGAACATCCCTGAGTCTTGTGATGATCCAGCTTGTTCGCAGCCAAATCATTTGATATACTAGGGCTTTGGGTTTGGTGGTTGATGTTTGTGAGGTTAAGGCTGGTTTCCAAGGCTTTGCTGGGTGAATTGTCATTGAACTTCTGGCCAGCTGGTAGATACTTTCATGCCCCTTTCTTGCAGCGGAGAAACTACAAATTTTTGGTGAATCCTTGGTTGGACGTAGGTGATGTTCCATAAGGATGTGTCTTCGAATGGAGACCCAAGTCAGACTAACGTTGACTGTGGTTTGTTCCCAGTGTCGGACACTCGCTTGTTGTTTTTGGTATGGAGGCCTCTTGCGTGGAGAAGCTTTCGACCTTGGCCACATCGCAGGTGAGACTGGGTGAAGGTCGGTGTTGGTGTGTTGTTGACGAGTTCGGCGGTCTAGCTTGCGACTGCGCAACGGCGACCATGGAAGAGCTAAAACTCCTGCATTTGACCCATGGACAAATGATGACTATATAATGAGTTGGAGCATCTTCACAAACCCTTGAGGTTCCATGTGCATGTCCTGGATTCCATGGTCCTTCTCTTGCACTTTAACCTTTTCTGAGTGGTGCTGGTGGAAACTGTCAGTCTTTGCTGCTGCTGAAAAAAATCCAACTGAGATGCTGAAGACGGTTCAACTCTTTCTTCAGCTCACTTATATAATATAGTGAAACTGATTGTTTGCAGCACTTGCCAGCAGATTCCCTTCTTCTTTGGGGGACAGATTCTTTTGACCACAGCTCACCAGGTGCCGAGAAAGCAATTCCAGCCAAAACGTTCATGTTACCTTCATATACTGTATTTTCACTCCATGTAATATGTACACTTTGTACCTTGCACATAGTAGGATGTCATGTCACCTTGACTTTGCAGCTCGCGGCCCAAAACAGGAGTTGCAGCTTAACGGCTGTTTCTATAGGTTATCAGCCGTAGTGCTCTAACCACAGCCATGGACGCTCTTGCTATTCCTGGGAACGGTACATCATCGGTAGCAGTCCCAGCCGGTCTCATGACTGAGCCCACGGTGGATCTAGATGACCCCATGGGTTCAGCTCCTGTCACAGCTTACTTTCAGTTTGTGCAACAAAACATTCAACAAGTGTACAACGGAAACGAAGACGCTATCATTGCTGAGGCAGAGAGAAGACACAAAGAGATAATGGGACAATGGCTGGACATGGTAAAAACCAAGTTTCGTCAAGCGATCGATGAAGTTGCGAGCAAGCATCATGAGGAACTTAGTTCGGTAAGGCAACAGGCTCAATCTAGCTACAACCAAGTGCAAGGGGAACTAAGTGCTGCAAAAGCACGAATCCTTAAGCTAGAGAGTGAAAGGTCCATTGAAGCTGAAGCCAGAAAAGCAGAACTGGACTCCTTGCGCATTCAGCTCATGCACGATTGTCAGCAAACTGTCACTGCCATCACCAGCGGTGCCGAGCAAGGTGTGGCAACGCTTCGTGCAGAGTTTGATGAGCGGGAAACTCAGCTTCGACGTGAGCTACGTGACGCAGAAAATGAAAACTATAGCCTGCAGCAAATGCTCGATGACCTTAAAGCCAAAATGCATGCTGGACCCGAGCTAGAGTACCATCCAACAAGTGTCATGAACACGCCAGTGTCTACCCCTAGGCATGATGACACAAAGAGGAAAAATCCTCTGGAGACCATTGCAGCAGAGGCTACTGCACGTTTGAGTGGACTGTTTGCTCCCAAAGCGCCGACGGCCACCATCATCGGTGATGCCCCACCAGGGGCAGCTGCTCCTATCAAGCCCGTGCTTCCAGTTTACGGAGGCACAGTAGCGGATGGGGGCAAAACACCGACAAATTTGTTCCATAGCCCTGCACCTTCAATTCGCGAACCCCA